CAGTTTCCTTTCATTACCTCTTTCAAATGTGATCCCTCCAAACCAGGTGTTGGCACTACGAGGCCTATGAACTAACTGGCCTGCTTCCTCTTTCTGTGAATGAGGGTTTACTGGAATGTTCCATGCTTATTAGTTTTTGTATTTGCTACTGTGGCTACTTAGGCATATAACCCATGAAACCTAAAAGATTTACCACCTTTTCCTTCACAGAAAATGTTCTCTGACCTGCTGTAAGTCTTCCATGATCTGTTTGTAGTTTCAGCTACCTGCAGGGTAATCTGTTCCGCTCAGAGCTTCCCTGTGTCTACCCTTTGCTTTCTAGGATCTGCAGGCCTCCACTGCACGGGGTGCTCCTCTCTGCTCTGCTACACCCCTTCTCTGCTTACCTGTGTGCTTCCCATTGTACAGAAACATCTCCTGGACTGAGCAGACAGGAGCAACCTCTTAGTCTCCTCTGTTACTCTCAAAGCCTAAAGGTGCCCACATTCACCTGATGCCCAATGTTCATTAAATAAATAAGTTGAGCTGGGTCTGGTGGCATACACCTGTAATCCCAGTGGCTAGGGAGGGCGAGGCAGGAGGAGTTTAAAGCCAGCCTCAGTAACTTAGTGAGATTCTGAGCAACTCAGCGAGATCCTGTTGCTAAATAAAAATATGAAAAAGGGCTAGGGGCTTGGCTCAGTGGTTATGTGCCCTGGGTTTAATCCTCAGTATCAAAAGTAAATGAATAAATAAGTAAATAAATACATAAACTAAGTAAGCTAACTACATCCCTTAGTCACAGTATAAAGCAACATTTATATAAATAGTTTATCTGAGACTCTGAACAGAAACACTTCTCAAAGCCACTTCTTCTAATTATAAAAGCATCTTAAGAAAGAATTTTGCCTTTATATTTATACCTCCTTTAAGCTCATATGAGATTAGTTTACATTAAAAATAAATTTAAATCTCTCAGTTCATATCCAGCATTCGTTCAAACCGGTCACATATTAAGGATAAACATCTTTGAATTAGAAAGAAAAATTGCAGATTATTCCAATTTTGTGTGTGATGGAAAATTCATATCTCAGTATTGTTGGGATCTTAGTATTCAGAGGTGGCTGATAGGAGCACTTGGTTTATCATTTATTCACTCTTCCAGTAGTAAGTATTCCTACGTGTCTCTGGTGTTCTAGGCACTGATGAAAGAATTAAAAAGAAAAAAAAAAAAGACAAAGTGTGTCCTCTTGTGGAGATGGTTCATTTGACTATGTAATTGCCAACCCCAAACTAGCAGCGTGGCTCTGGGAAGGGTTATCAGAGAATTGTATGAGCGAGTAACTGGGGAGTCATTTACATTGTGATCATAGACTATTTCTCTGAGGAGTGTCATTGGAATTGGAATCTGAATAAAAAGGAATGGAATTCTGGACAGAGAAATCAGCCCCAACAAAGGATTCCACACTAGGAAGGAACCTAGTGTGTTTGAGGAACAGAAGGAAGGCAGACATGGCAGGTGCAAAGTGTGCAAAGGAAAACAGGATAACGGGGAGGTTTGGGAGGCAGGTGGGCAGCAGGCAGAATGAGGCCTGTGGCACAGGCTCTTTTCTGCTCTGGGTTTAAAGCATCTGAGAGAAGATGATTGATCCTTGCTTTTTGAGACTCCTCCTCATTGGGCCCCAGGGAGGGTGTTGGATACTGTGTCTGCTGCTGGCCAGCTCAGCTGCTTGCATGAGCTCCAGAGCCTGACTCTGAGTGACTCTAGACCAATGTAACCCCTGTGGGCAAGTCCCGAGGAGCCTACCTGTTGTGGTCACTTCCATGTTGAGTTGTCTACTTGCCCATTCTCTGGGCACCAACCAAACAAAGATGATGATCACACAACAGTAACACATGTCAAGTAAACACCCCCGAAGTTCTTTTTATTTCATCTAATTATCATTTGCACATAAAAATGTGTATTATATGCAAATAAGGTGACTCTTAACAAAGGGTTAGATTGTAAGGAATATATGTGTCAGGACAATGTTGTACAAAATTGTTGGTGCAGAGTATTCACCTAAATGAAAGTGCATTGAGGCTGTTGAATGTTTTTTGTGACACAGAGGACTACTATTAATGGTCAATGAAAGTAATAAATGTGAATATGATATGACTCTGAGATGGGTAAACCAAGGACAAAGCATGTGGCAAATTCAGGTACTTTTATTTAATTCTTAAAATATCTTGAGCCACTAACTTTATATCAAGCCAGGTCTTCACATCAGGCAAGTAGAAATAAAAAAGATTTTTGTGTGTGTGTATGGCATTAAAGAAAAAAAATGGTTATTTCTGATATTACTAAATTGACATTAGAATCACCAGTTTTCACAGTAGCAATTGTTTTAAGTAAAATGTTGTCCCTTCCTCCACCTGGTTGCTGTGCAGGGACAGAGCCTAACCCAGCAATTATGGCTATTGTTGGAAGCTTGCCTGGTTGTCATCTGGCTGTGGTTTGGTGCAGTCAGGGACAAAGAGAGGGTGTGAAGGAAAGCAGGGAGGAGGAAGATGGCTTTGAGTCCCTTTTAACAAAGAAAAAGTAACTCAGAGAGGGAGTGGAGGCTAGCAATCTGCTAAAAGGAAATGAAAGGAAATTCTTCATTTCTAAACGGTTCATTGACCCATGATAATAAAGCAACCCTGCTAAAGAAGGATAATTATCTTTTTAAGTATCTGATGCCCTGTGGGTGAAGGCCTCCCTTCTCTTCTCTTAAAAAATGAACTCAGATTTAACAAATGCCTCTTTTCCTAGTTTACTGTTGATGTGAATTTCCTGATTATGAGCTAAAGAATCAGTTTCCCCCTCCTTTCTCTCCCCACTACTCCACCTTATGGAAATCTGGCCTGCCCAGCTGAGCTGAGTGCATTTCCCCTGGGTCCCAAGTTCTACCAATAGTGTGATGGGTTAAAGTGCTTGATATTCTGGTGAGGCCAGCAATTGTATGATTGTGGTTTTATGAGGCCCCGTTCTTGCTTAGCTCCAGGCAGCAGCATGCTTTCTTAAAACAACAGGGAAAAAAGGAAAAAGAAAGGAACAGAAAACAAGTCCAGGAGTGCTTCTTTTCTCCTTCTGGTATCTGGAAATTAAACAAATATTAATATACGTTGTATGTGTGTTCACACAGACAACCGCTTCTTACGATGGTTTGACTTAACAATTTTTCAGCTTACAGTAGTGTGTAAGCCAACCCACACAACCACTCTGTTTTTTTCTTTCATTTAGCAAGTATTCTATAAGTGACATGAAATATTCAGTGTTCTCTTTTACAATAGACTTTGTGTTGAGTGATTTTGCCCTACTGTAGGCAAATATGCATTCTAAGTGCATTTAAGACAGGCTAGCCTCAACTATGGCATTCAATAGGTTAGGTATATGAACTGCATTTATTACACGATATTTTCAGTTTAGGATATTTTCAGCTTACAATGGACTTATTGGGGTGTAACCCCATCATAAGTTGAGCAACATCTGTACGTATATACAGACAGACACATACATATGTTTGCATATACATGTGTGGACATATGTATGTCATGAATTCAAATAGAAAAAGGAACTGAAAGGTTATTGATGGTGTAATAGTGAATATTAGTTTGCTACTGATAAGTGATTAAACTTACATTCTTTTTGTTATAACTCAGATCAATAATGTAAATATGTTGCCTTGTCTGGCTTACAGAATGCATTAAGATGGTTTCTTTTGTATGAACAGACAACTTTTTTTATGATTTACCCTCAAATATCTTTTTATAAAAATGTTTTGATCTTAAGTAAAATAAAAGTGTATCATAGTTATACATAATAGTGCATTATAGTTATATATAATAGTGGGGTTCAGTTTGACATATTCATAAATACATACCAGTACTTCCTCTGACCCTCCTCACCTCCCTCCCCCAGCCTCTTCCTCTACTGTGTTGGTCTTCCTTCTACGTATTTATTTATTTTTAATTGGACATATATAATTGGAATGCATTTTGAAATAGTCGTACATGCACATATCATAATCTGATCAACCTCACTCCCCACTTCTTCCCCTTTCCCTTCTGTCCTCCCTCCCCCCACTCTACTAATCACCCTTCTATTTTCATGAGATCATAAATCCTATTTTATAAGAAAGTATTGATTTCATGTAATGTATTTAAAACTACACCGAAAGTGAGAAATGGTGGTTATATGGATACGCTTTCATACCATCATAAAGTCAAGAAATCCTAAGTCAAATCATCGTAATAGCATTGTAATGTGGTTACTTTATAGTGATTAGGAGGCCCTGTGGACTTTTTTTTATATAGAAGTGTTTCACTTTTTAAAAAAAATTTTTTTTTTAATATACATGACAGTCAAATGCCTTTTTAGACTCTGAATAATCATCGGTCTGATTAAATCATAAATGGCTTAATAATATGGGACATCTGTTAGTTGTAGATGAAGCTCACTGTACATTTTCAGAATGTCTACCCACCTTTCAGAATAAAATCGGCTCCCCTCAGAAGTTCATTATGTATTTCTGTTATTTCTCTAAAACAAAACTTAACATTAAAATTTTAATCACGATGTTCTACCTAGAGAAAGCTCCTGGATATTCCACTTATTTCTGCAACATAGTGCCTTTGGCTGCTGGAGAGGACAGAGGTTTAGAATAGGGGTCAGGAGATAATAGTCCAGAATAGATCTTGCCTCCTGGTATAATTATCTCAGCAAGCACCAGAATCACTCTGTACCCTAATGTTCCTTCTCTTAAAAGAAATTTCTTCTGTGCACCACAGCTTCTCCTTTGAAGTATAACTAACCATGTTTTTAAGCTCTCTTTGCACTCTTTGGTGTGCAGTCGCTGGTAAATATTTGTTTCTTCATTCCTTAGTCTTTTAATGTTCTGGCCCTGGGTCAAGGGGGGATGCAATACTGTGGGTATAAGCTGCTCGGTAAGAACACCACCCAAAGCAAGCCTGGTGTGCCTTAACAGACCTTGCTACAGATGTTCTCGTGTGCCCACTGCGGCCAGTGGAGCGCTTCCAAGATCTGCATCCTGATGAAGTGGCCGATTTGTTTCAAGTGACCCAGAGAGTCGGGACAGTGGTGGAGAAGCATTTCCAGGGGACCTCTCTGACTTTTTCCATGCAGGTGAGTATACAGGTTGCTCAAAATTGACTTTTTTCTTCCTCTTTAAGTGCTAGTATTGGGCTTTCTACCTCCAACATGACATCCCACCAGGAAGGCAGCTCTGGTTTTCTCCATTTACATAATGACACAAAATTATATTACTAATCCAGGGCAACTCTATAGTCCATTGGCCTCAAGATGGACTGTGGAATGTTATTAGGGGCAGTGCCTGTACCACTGTTTGCAAAGCAGATGGGAGTAATGGACAAAGGATGTAATGCACATTAAGATATTCCAGAGCTTATATTGGAACTGGTATTTTCTTGCCATGGTAAATGTTGTGAGCACTGCCTGACCTGAGCCCTGTTCTAGTTTCCAGGGAGCAGTGATAAGCAAGTTGGGTTGAACCTTGTCCTCATAAGGCTTGTCTTTTATATTTTCCTGCCTTCAATGCAAGCTTAACTGATTGATGACATATTGGTACATGCTAGATTGATTGATTGGGTATGGCCCACCCACACCATACCCAAAGAGATCCCCAATCACAGGAGAGCTTTAGGCAGAAGTTGAATCAGTACTTCTCAGGTTTGAAGGAGGAAGTCCATAATGAGTTAACAGCTGGGAGGTGAGTGAATCAGTAGTAAGGTACCATGAGCCTCTTCAGATCAAATAAGGAGAGGGCTGATGTATTAGTGCATACACAAAGTCCTTTGTGACTCTGAAATTTAATATTTTGAAACCTGCCCTCTAGAAGGCATCTGATTCTTCCAAAATATGGAGACTCTGTCCTCAGACTTTTAGTTAAACTGCATGTTTACCTCCTTAGCTCTCTGCCATAGATTTTCACAGAGAACTATTAAAGCCTTTGACTAAAAATGTTCCTGTGCTTCTTAGGGGAAAAAATGCTGTTTGTTTGAACTGATAGTATCTAAAGTTCCCCCCAAATATTGTGCATATGTGTGTGTCTGTTGTATGATAAACCATTTAAGTCACCTTTGGGCAAGGTACTTCAGCTCAAGGTGGGTTTATCAAGCTTATGTTGTAAACTTGGTTTCCAGAAAGACCAAGTAAAATGGGTGAAAACATCTGTAAGTGTTCAGTGAAATAACAGAGGAAAATTCATCATTATAGGAAATACCAGTGCTGCTTATTTAACATGGTTCAACAGAAAGTGAATTCTATAACAAATGATATATCCCTTACAGCATTTTCATACTGTAAGTGTTGTCAAACTTACTTTCTTAACTATAACCCACAGTAGATATATATTTATTTCATGATTACATATATTATTCCCCATACATACAGCTATATAGGCTCGAAAAACAAAAGAGTTTCTCGAAACAGTGCTTATCATTCTGTGCATTCTAAAAGTCTCTGTCCTATCACTCTGTGCTCTCTTTATTTCTTCATATTGGTTGCAATGTATTAAATTGACTTCATGTCCCACTAATATGTTGTGACTCTGGGTTTGGAAAGCACTTATGGACATAGGTATGCTTCTGGTCACATCAGGGCAGGAATTCTCCCACCAATCATCAGGTTTATAGAGGGAGACAGAATTAGCCAAGCCATGGTTGTTCCATTTTGTATAGTCTCATTGTAGACAATGAGTTTCTTGTGCTGTGCTCTGGTGATCAGGTAGGTCTGCTGGTTTTCAATCAAGACAGTAGTTTTGTTGGATATCAGAAGCTGGGAGAGAGAACCAGGATGGGGAAAAAGAATCCTGCTACAATGAACACTCTCATTTTCTTCCCCAAGGTCAGAATAGCCAGAAAGGACTCCTCCCCCACAAAACACCCCATATTCTTGCTTAATGGATTATGATTACAGCAGATTTCCTGAGGAGAGACTTAAAGTAATCAGGCATTAATTAAACCACATCTGATTTAAAGATAACCAAAAGGTGTGATACTTCACCTCCCCAAACATTTTCAACCTTCTTTTAATGCAATTAAAACCATTGCCAAGAGCAAAGAGCATGAAAAGTAGCAAGGGGGTTGGCTTACTGGATAATTTATGTCATTTTTATACATAACTTCTCACTTACTCTCGGGCGGAAATGGAGAACTGTCTGGTCCCACACACTGGAATCAAATGGTCCCCATGAGAATGCTATAAATTAACACACAATGAAATTGGATCTAAATTATTAACGGGTGATATTTCTGAATAAGCATGAGATACCATCTATCTGTTCTCACCTCTGCTGGGTTTTTTTTTTTCTTCCCCTTCTTCCAGGATGGCCCCGAAGCCGGACAGACTGTGAAGGTGAGTGCTTATTATGTGCATACAAATTAATAAGGGGCAATTATGGGAACTAATAAAAAATCACAACGAGTCATCTGCAGCACATTGCTATTTCATTATGTTATCTTCGAGGTCAGAGAGACCCTCAGTGTTGGAGCCATAAATCCTGACATTATAAACTGTGCCAAACAGTATGTTTCCCATTAGTTTACAAGACATTTACCTTTTTGTAGTAAAATTATTACTGTGCAAAAGCTAAAACGGCAACTAAATCAAGGAGTCCAAAACCAGAAACTGAAGTCCATGGTTTCTTGGCAGGAATTGCATAAACACAGCACATCAGCTCCGCGTGGACTGCGTGTGTTCCACAGTAAGCCCGGGGCACCTTTTACGTGCTTTTAGTTCTTCACACACTCTGCCTTTTCTTCATGTTCTTGAGCGGAAGAACAAGGTTGCGGTGGCCCCAGGTGGCTTCCTTCCCTGCTGGCAGTGCTTACACTGTTCTCTGCACCCCCACACATATTCCTTTCCTCCTTAGGTACTTAAATACCAAAGTTCAAACCAGTGGAGCTCAAAAATTGGTCTTTAAGTGTGCTAGAGAGGAAAGGAGGATTTATTAGGATAGTATCTGACTCCATAGTAAAAAGACTAAACTCCTGGCTGATTGTGAAGCTGAGTTTCAGCTACTTTCATACAAATGCAAATTTCTATGGAGTTAAGTCCTATGCCTAAGTCCTATATAGAAAAGGCTATTTTTGCTTTTTCTTGTTTTTGCTAAAAAAAAAATAGAGGCAAATCAGACTACTATGCTAATGTTATGCTTTGTAAAAGGTTTTATGACTCCAAGGCTGGCTGGGACTAGGCAGCATAATGTTTGGCACCAAACTACACCAAATGAACATGGTTCCTTTTTCATCTTAGTTTGTATATCACTTTAATGTTTAACATATATACTGTGGAAGTTTTAAAATAGAATGTCTGGGAAGTGCCTTTGAGGAGTTAATGTCTCAAAGGAACTGCCACCAAATGTGCCACCAAATTCTTAGTCACTCCTGAATTGCTTTAGACACATGATGTTCTCATAGGGACAGAGGGGACATTCAGCTTGCATCAATACTTCTGCCTCCCTCCATGACAGAATCCCAAATGTGCAGACTCTAAAACGGGATATAATACCAGTGGCTTCTTAGTGAAACCTATTCTTGAAATACAAAATACAAATGTTTAAACCTGGTTACCAGAGTTTCAAAAACTCAGTATTCAAATGTGTATTCCAGTCACACTGGATGAGATGCTTTATGCAATATCTGTCTGATAGAATTCTTTTAGCCACTGAAAGTGAGAGTGTAGGGGTATAGCTAATCGTGGAAGAATGCAAAAATCACATTCAGTGGATTGCACAGATTGGTAATACACATATATTGAGCATAACTGAAATTTATATGAATAGATAGGTTATATGATCTCAACATTATATTTCAGAATTCTGAAAGGGGTGTTAAAATATTTGCTATACAAACAGGTTCAAATAGAGACAGAAAGTATATTAGTGGCTTCCAGGGACTGAGGGGAAGAGTAAATTGGCGATGAGTCCAAATGGGTATAGGTCTCTTTTGGTGGTAATGAAAATGTTGTGGAATTAGTGGTGCTTGTACAACACTGAGTATAATAAACCCCACTGAATTGCAACCTTTAAAAGGGTGAATTTATGGTGTTTGGATGATGTCTTGATTAAAATAAAACACATTTGATAAAAATAAGCATTGTGTCTAACTAGGCTGAGAGCCATAGCTATAGACTCTCATGACTCCAATAGCAACAACTTTTTGATGTTCCAGTTATCTGACCAAAATCTCCTCATGATTTTATTAGCTTTGATGGAAATTGTGATGGTTCATTCTTTTTTTTTTATTGGTTGTTCAAAACATTACAAAGCTCTTGACATATCATATTTCATACATTAGATTCAAGTGGGTTATGAACTCCAATTTTTACCCCAAATACAGATTGCAGAATCACATCAGTTACACATCCACATTTTTACATAATGCCATATTAGTAACTGTTGTATTCTGCTACGTTTCCTATCTTCTACTATCCCCCCTCCCCTCCCATCCCATCTTCTCTCTCTACCCCATCTACTGTAATTCATTTCTCTCCTTGTTTTTTCCCATTCCCCTCACAACCTCTTATATGTAATTTTGTATAACAATGAGGGTCTCCTTCCATTTCCATGCAATTTCCCTTTTCTCTCCCTTTCCCTCCGACCTCATGTCTCTGTTTAATGTAAATCTTTTCCTCCTGCTCTTCCTCCCTGCTCTGTTCTTAGTTGCTCTCATTATATCAAAGAAGACATTTGGCATTTGTTTTTTAGGGATTGGCTAGCTTCACTTAGCATAATCTGGTCGAATGCCATCCATTTCCCTGCAAATTCCATGATTTTGTCATTTTTTAGTGCTGTATGATACTCCATTGTGTATAAATGCCACATTTTTTTTTATCCATTCATCTATTGAAGGGCATCTGGGTTGGTTCCACAGTCTAGCGATTGTGAATTGTGCTGCTATGAACATCGATGTAGCAGTATCCCTGTAGTACGCTCTTTTAAGGTCTTCAGGGAATAGTCCAAGAAGGGCAATAGCTGGGTCAAATGGTGGTTCCATTCCCAGCTTTCCCAGGAATCTCCATACTGCTTTCCAAATTGGCCGCACCAGTTTTCAGTCCCACCAGCAATGTACAAGAGTACCCTTTTCCCCACATCCTCTCCAGCACTTGTTGTTGTTTGACTTCATAATGGCTGCCAATCTTACTGGAGTAAGATGGTATCTTAGGGTGGTTTTGATTTGCATTTCTCTGACTGCTAGTGATGGTGAGCATTTTTTCATGTACTTGTTGATTGATTGTATGTCCTCCTCTGAGAAGTGTCTGTTCAGGTCCTTGGCCCATTTGTTGATTGGGTTATTTGTTTTCTTATTGTTTAATTTTTTGAGTTCTTTGTATACTCTGGATATTAGGGCTCTATCTGAAGTGTGAGGAGTAAAAATTTGTTCCCATGATGTAGGCTCCCTATTTACCTCTCTTTTTGTTTCTTTTGCTGAGAAAAAACTTTTCAGTTTAAGTAGGTCCCATTTGTTGATTCTTGTTATTAACTTTTGTGCTATGGGTTTCCTATTAAGGAATTTGGAGCCCGACCCCACAATATGTAGATCGTAGCCAACTTTTTCTTCTATCAGACGTAGAGTCTCTGATTTGATATCTAGCTCCTTGATCCACTTTGAGTTAACTTTTGTGCATGGAGAGAGGAGGGGATTCAGTTTCATTTTGTTGCATATGGATTTCCAGTTTTCCCAACACCATTTGTTGAAGATGCTATCCTTCCTCCATTGCATGCTTTTAGCTCCTTTATCAAATATAAGATAGCTGTAGCTTTGTGGATTAGTTTCTGTGTCCTCTATTCTGTACCATTGGTCCACCCGCCTGTTTTGGTACCAGTACCATGCTGTTTTTGTTACTATTGCTCTGTAGTATAGTTTGAAGTCTGGTATCGCTATACCGCCTGATTCACACTTCCTGCTTAGCATTGTTTTTGCTATTCTTGGTCTTTTATTTTTCCATATGAATTTCATGATTGCTTTCTCTATTTCTACAAGAAATGCCATTGGGATTTTGATTGGCATTGCATTAAACCTATAGAGAACTTTTGGTAATATCGCCATTTTGATGATGTTAGTTCTGCCTATCCATGAACAGGGTATATTTTTCCATCTTCTAAGATCTTCTTCTACTTCTCTTTTTAGGGTTTTGTAGTTTTCATTGTATAAGTCCTTCACCTCTTTTGTTAGGTTGATTCCCAAGTATTTTATTTTTTTTGAGGATATTGTGAATGGAGTGTTTTTCCTCATTTCCATTTCAGAAGTTTTGTCACTGATATACAGAAATGCCTTTGATTTATGCGTGTTGATTTTATATCCTGCCACTTTGCTGAATTCATTTATTAGTTCTAGTAGTTTTTTTGTAGACCCTTTTGGGTCTTCTAGGTATAGAATCATGTCATCTGCAAATAGTGATAATTTAAGCTCTTCCTTTCCTATTTTTATGCCTTTAATTTCTTTCGTCTGTCTAATTGCTCTGGCCAGTGTTTTGAGAACTATATTGAATAGAAGTGGTGATAGAGGGCATCCCTGTCTTGTTCCAGATTTTAGGGGGAATGCCTTCAATTTTTCTCCATTGAGAATGATGCTAGCCTGAGGCTTAGCATATATAGCTTTTACAATGTTGAGGTAAGTTCCTGTTATTCCTAGTTTTTCTAATGTTTTGAACATAAAGGGATGCTGTACTTTGTTGAATGCTTTTTCTGTGTCTATTGAGATGATCATATGGTTCTTATCTTTAAGTCTATTGATGTGGTGAATAACATTTATTGATTTCCGTATATTGAACCATCCTTGCATCCCAGGGATGAATCCTACTTGATCATGGTGCACAATTTTTTTGATGTGCCTTTGTATCCGATTCGCCAGAATTTTATTGAGGATTTTTGCATCTAGGTTCATCAGAGATATTGGTCTGTAGTTTTCTTTCTTTGAGGTGTCTTTGTCTGGTTTCAGAATCAGGGTGATGTTGGCCTCATAGAATGAATTTGGCAGAGCTCCCTCTTTTTCTATTTCCTGAAATAGCTTGAAAAGTATTAGTATTAATTCTTCCTTAAAGGTTTTGTAAAACTCCACTGTATACCCATCCGGTCCTGGGCTTTTCTTGGTTGGAAGTCTTTTGATTGCTTCTTCTATTTCATCTATTGATATTGGTCTGTTTAAGTTGTGAGTATCCTCCTGACTCAGTCTGGACAAATCATATGACTTAAGGAATTTATCGATGTCTTCACTATCTTCTATTTTATTGGAATATAGGTTTTCAAAATAATTTCTAATTGTCTTCTGTATTTCTGTAGCGTCTGTTGTGATATTGCCTTTTTCATCCCGTATGTTAGTAATTTGAGTTCTCTCTCTTCTTCTCTTCGTTAG